GGTGAATGAGGAAAGAGATGTCAGGAACGAGAGGGGCATTCCCCAGGGAGAGATGCTGTCCCTGACCCTTCCATGCTTTGAAGAGCACTCATTGTTCTTTGAAGGAACAAGAACCCCACCTGAAATGATGCCCAGACAAAGGAATCTGAAAAAAAAGAACAATTCTTCCTTAATCTTACTGAATAGAGAAGTATAATTGTGGATTCTTCCCATCTGTGCTTTCCAGAAACAGAACTTCTGGTTCCTCTTCTGCAGTCCTGCTGGCAATAGATTTGTGGGACACAATGGGGGGTGGATTTTAATGCCTAAGAGACAATGGCTGTGCTGTGAAGATTTCCCCTTAAGAAGTGGATGTTTGGATACCCATCCCTGTTATGGCTCAGCTTGTGTGAGGTGAACAACTTCCTTTTCTCTGTCATCAGTCTTCCAATGTTCACCTTCAATGGGTGACCTCACTGGGTTCTGTTATGAGAAAGGGAGAGAAACTTCTCTCTGTCAGGGTGATGCATTATTTCACAAATCCCTTGCCCCTTATTCCCCTCCCCCCCCCAATGTATCATAGTGATTACAACATTGGACTAGGGCCTGGGAGAGACAAGAGTTCAAATCCCCACTCATTCATGCAGCTCACTGGGCGACCTTGAGCCAGTCACTATCTCTCAGCCTAGCCCTACATCACAGCGTTGTAGAGATTAAATGAGGAGGACAATGCATGCCGCCTTGAGCTTTCTCTCTCACACACATATCAAAGATTTATCATAGAATTGTAGAGTTGGAAGCGACTCTGAGGACCATCTAGTTCAGGTAGGCAACCTAAGGCCCATGGGCCGGATGCGGCCCAATCGCCTTCTCAATCCGGCCCGCAGACGGTCCAGGAATCAGTGTGTTTTTACATGAGTAGAATGTATGCTTTTATTTAAAATGCATCTCTGGGTTATTTGTGGGGCATAGGAATTCGTTCATATATTTTTTTTTCAAAATATAGTCCGGCCCCCCACATGGTCTGAGGGATGGTGGACCGCCCCATGGCTGAAAAAGGTTGCTGACCCCTGATTTAGTTCAACCCCCTGCAATGCAGGAATATGCAGCTGTACAACACGGGGATCAAACCTGCAACCTTGGCGTTATCAGCACCATGCTCTAACCAACTGAGCCATTATGAAAAACATACACACACACACTCTTCAGATTGCATTTGGCATTAGTCCTACACAGAGTAGACCTATTGAAATTAATGGGCATGAATAAATAAGGTTTATTCATAAACCTGAGTAAATGTTAATAAGACCTGACCCTTCCTTTTGCACCCGCTTTGCAGGCAGTGTTGCTTGACCGGCTCAGCACCATCTAAAACTGCGTCTTCCAAAACAGGGATAATGTGTCTTATTAGAAGGGGCCAAATGCACTCACTCTGTTGAGTTGTGACTGATTTCTGCAGGTCAGGCAGGCGGCCTGTCCCAGCACATTTTGTCCTGCTTGTTTGGCTGAGTCCTGCCTGTTTCGTTCCTTGCAGCTAATTAAAAAATAATAAAGAAAGCACCTCTTGGAAGGCTTTCAACCGCCAAGCCAGCTGAGGAGCCAGAAGTGGCTTTGGCACTTGCTCTGCTCGGGAATATCGGGCTTGGTGGTTTTTCCCTCCCGGGGACAAAATGGGACATGTTGAGCAACTGACTCCCTTTTCTGCCAGATATCGCTGCCCTCAACAGCCACTGCAGCAGAAGCTGAGGGAACAGGAACAGGGGAAGAAACCTTGAGCCAGACTGTCGGTCCATCTAGCTCATTGTTGGCCACATTCACTCCATACTTTTGAAGCGCTTTAAACAGTTGTGGCTTCCACCAAAGTATCCTGGGAGCTGTAGTTCAGACCCTCCAAGTGTCCATATTTTCCAGGGACAGTCCTGGATTTATAGAAACCGTTCCAGTTTCTGATTTGATCCCGGAATGTCCTGCTTTCCCTTAGGATGTCCCTATTTTCATTGGAGAAATGTTGGAGGGTATGGAGTTATGCATACCCTGAGCCAAGGAGATAAGTAACTATAAAACCTTTAGAAGACATCTGAAGGAAGCCCTCTATAGGGAAGTTTTTAAAAAATATTATTAATGTCTTATTATGTTTTTGTATATGTTGGCAGTTGCCCAGTGTGGCTGGGGCAACCCAGTCAGATGGGTGGGGCATAAATAGTAAAATCATTATTACTATTATCAGTGCTTTTTTTCTGGGGGCGACCCATGGGTATACACATACCCCTAAGCGTTTTGTGAATCTTTGTACTTTTGTCCATTTGCTGTATTTATTTTTCCCAATTTGAACTATAAAATGGTGATTTTCTTGAGTCAAAATGAGAGTACCCCTAAACATTTTTTTAGAAAAAGAAGCACTGACTATTATTTTGGAAAAGGAGGACATCCCTTTTTTCATTAGAAAAATGTTGGAGACTATGGTAAAGGGACCCCTGAACTGTTAGGTCCAGTCGTGGACGACTCTGGGGTTGCAACGTTCATCTCGCTTTACTGGCCGAGGGAGCCGGCGTACAGCTTCCGGGTCATGTGGCCAGCATGACTAAGCTGCTTCTGGCGAACCAGAGCAGCGCACGGAAATGCCGTTTACCTTCCTGCCAGAGTGGTACCTATTTATCTACTTGCACTTTGACATGCTTTTGAACTGCTAGGTTGGCAGGAGCTGGGACAGAGCAACGGGAGCTCACCCCGTCGTGGGGATTCGAACCGCTGACCTTCTGATCGGCAAGCCCTAGGCTCTGTGGTTTAGACCACAGTGCCACCCAAGGCTATGGTAGTTTGTTACAAATGAGAGTTGTTGGAAGATCCCTATATTTCCCTCGCAGGGCATAAATATTAGGAGTTTGGCATTCTCTCTTTACCAAGATAAAAACCTGAAATGGATTTTGCCATCATGCAAATATTCAGCCCGGATCTCTCCTCCCTACCATTTGGCGACTGGCTGCTGGCTCTGGGAGCGCGTTGCTTGATTTGCAAAGGAGATTAGGTGCAAATATTCTGCCTTATTACCAAAGACAGACAGGACAGTTCAAAACCAGTCTCATGCCAGTGGATGAACTGCACTCGCTTCCGGGTTTCAGAACTGGCATTTATGTTTAGTGTTGAAGAGCTACCCTCACTGTTGGAGGCAGTGTGCTTCTGAGTACTAGTTGCTGGCAATCATGAATGGAGAGAGCGCTATGGTCACACTCAAGTCCTGCTTGGCATTTGGCTGGGCACTGTGGGAAAAGGATGCTGAACTAGGTAGGCTGTTGGCCTGGTCCAACAGGACTCTTCTTGTGTTCATGGTAGTGGTGTTATTCCTTCAGGATCAGAGGCAGTATCTTCTGAACACCAGTTTCTGGGAATCACAAGTGAGCGCTGCTGTTGTACTCAAGTCCTGCTTGAAGGCTTCACATCAGATTCTGACTTCTTATGTTGCCCGTGGGTTTCATGATGGAGTCATTCTTGGACGGAAGGCCATAATATGCCAAACGATCTCACACACTGGAGGAACCCAGCGTCGCAGCACAGAGAGATTCAGCCCTGTTTCCGCAGGTCTCAACCATCAGGTTGTGTAAAAGCTTTTGGGAGCTGCAGTTTGAAGAAATCCAGTTTCTTCAGCCTCCCCCCCGCCGCCCTCCCGCTTTTAGTCCTCCAGCAGGCCCTGCCAAGTGTTATAAAAATATATCAGCGTGTGCCAAAACATTTAGCACTCTCCTTATTACTTGAAGGTTAGAGGTTAAACAAATTCCTCCGTACAATTTACTGTGTTCATTTCAGCTTTGCAACACAGGCCTGGCCCACTGGCAGATATATTTCATGGTGAAATAACTCCCTGAAGTATTTAAAAAAAAGGGGGGGGGGAGTTGCACAGGGCTCCACAACACTTCTTTTTTATATTGCACAAAAAAGCTACTATATAAAACAAGCTGAAAACAAGGCCTCCATGAAAAAGAAGGTTGCAAAAACCTGTTTTGCAGTGGCCAGTAAACTTGAGACATAAAGAAAATCCTCCTTTAAAACAGGCTGTTAATTTTATTTTCTGCCTCTTTACCTCCCCTTTCCTTCTGTGTGGTGTGGAGTCAGTAGGGATGTGGAAAGGTAATGTCCAGCAGGGTTGGAGGAGAAATTCGATTCAGTTCACATTTAAAGCGAAACTACCCAATTGTCTTTTCCAAACAATACGGGAATAAAAAATGCGCCAGCTTTTGAGATTCATACTTTCACAATGCTGTTCTTCAAACACCTAATGTGTAAAAAAAAGGAATATATGGAGGAATGATGTTCCTATGTGTCATATTCAGGGGAAATGCCTTGCAAAGATGCTTATGTTAGGCAAAATAGTATGCAAAAATATGTTTATCAGGAGAAATTCACAACAAAATGCTGGTGAATTTTAATGAGGACCTTTTGCAAGACTTTTTTCTAAATCTGATGTGGAGAAGTGAATTTAAGATTGGGAAATTAGAAACAGAGAGAAACTGGAATCAACAGATTTGCCCCATCCTTAAGAGTCACATAGCAATCCTTAAAAACAAACAAACAAAACCCATTTATTTATTTATTTATTTATTTATTTATTACAGTGGTACCTTGGAAGTTGAACGGAATCCGTTCCGGAAGTCTGTTCGACTTCCAAAGCATTCGACTTCCAAATTAGGGCTTCTGATTGGCTGCAGGAACGTCTTACCCTAGCATGTAGTTAAACTATGGAACTCATTGCCACAAGAGGAAGTGATGGAGGACAAAGCGTTATCAATGACTATTAGCCACAATAGCTACACTCTGCCTCCATGGTCAGAGGGAGTAATGCTTCTGAATACCAGTTGCCAGAAACCAGAGGAGGGGGGAGTATTATTATACCTGTCTGAAACCTTTCAGAGCTGCTGCCAGTCAGTGCTGCCATTACTGAGCTAAGTGGAGCTACGGTCTGTCTCTGTATAAGGCAGCTTCCTTTGAAACATTTCCACCTTGATAGAAACGAGCTGGTGTCTCAGACTCAGAAAGGGACCTCAGGGATTCTTACAGATTCAGCTTGTTGCCTACCGGCTCTTCGTAGCTGCCTGCAAGAATTTTTCTTTGTCGATCTGGGATTCTAAACTTCTGAGCTTGAAGCTGTAACAACGGTCCTTGGGGACCAAGGGGGGGGGGGAGAGAAGGAAAACCACCACCACAACCAGCCCCATCATTGTGGCCCCACTTACATTAAGGTCTTGGATTTCCTCAAAGAGGGGCGGGAAACGGGAACCCAGACATCTAGGTGTCTTGTATAGAAGGTAATAAAACTGGCCTGGCGGATTGAAGATGGAGAACCTCGGGGACTATTTAGAGGTATCCATCATATAAATGAGGAGGCGGAGGAAGTCTGGATGATAGTAACCCCATATTAAAAAATTCTACCTTGTCAACAAGGAAAGCGCTACATGGTGGAAATCCACCTACTTTTGTAAAACTGTGAAACCAGATGTCTCGGAGCAATAACTGTTGTACAAGAACAAGGCGGAGGGGAAGAGAGAGAAAGGGGAATGAGATGGCTCATATATATATATATAAACTTCCCAGGAACGTTCTTGCGCTCTGCAGTGATGGTTTCGATTAAAACACCTTCCTCCAAATATTGTTCATATTAATGGGGTGGCCAGCTGCAGGGTTGTGTTTGAAGAACACTTACGCATTTTTAGCAAGCAACATCTGGCGAATAATCTCAGGATCCAGATGGTGGTCAGAGGCCTATCACGGCACCCCGTTTTTCTTCTCCTACCAATGCCCCAAAAGAGAGAGAGGGAGTTGGAATGGGGGGGGGAGAGAAAACAAGGATTATGATTGCTGAAATTTTGCCCAAACTGAAACCTTCTCTTCCATCAATTGGTCCAATCGTCTTTTAAAGGACTCTTCAAATAGTCTTCAAATATCCATGGAAGATGGAGAAAACTTGTTTTCTGCTGCTCCAGAGAGGAGAACCCAAAACAATGGATTCAAATGACAAGAAAAGAGATTCTGAACAAACATTAGGAAGAACTTTCTGATCGTAAGAGCAGTTCAACAGTGGAACAGACTTCAAAGGCAGTGGATCCCCCTTCACAGAAGGTTCTTAAGCGGCAATTGGACTGCCATCTGTCATGTATGATTTAGTTGAGATTTCTGCATTGCTACAGTTGGATGGTTTCCCTTCCAACTGTACAATTCTATGAAGCCATCCAAATTAGAGGCCATCACTGCCTCCTACAGAAGCAGGTTCCATAGTTTAACTAAGCCTGGTTGAAGGCATGAGAGTGGTGGGATTGCTGTGTGTGTTATGAAGATGAATGAACAGTTGTGGGGGAGAGAGTTCGGCACTTTTCCCAGCTCCCTGATTTCTCTCTCTCTCTCTCTCTCTCTCTCTCCTGCCAGTAGATTCTTGTTGCACTCTGCATTCCCAACAACGGGGAAACAAGTGCTACAGGAAGGTGTTTGCCAAGGCAAAGTTTTTACTCCTTCCCCCTTATTCGCTGATGCAGGTGGTGCAAAATTGCCGATACAAGAAACTGCTGCTGTTGGACCGACCACGTGCCAATTTGATCTCTGCAGCCAGCAACTGAGGAGTTAAAAAAAACAACCCCTGCCCGCCTGGCACACTGAAGACCCCAGAGAGCGGTTCACAGACAACAAAAGAAAACGGCTGTTGAGGACCTGGGGTGGAACGGCGTTGCATTAGGAAACACGCCTAGGCATGCTAGCTCATGTTAAATTAGGTGTAAAATTGACATTCACAATCTGCCCTTTTGCTGCACATGTCATCGGGAGGGAGCGGGGCGGAGGGAGGGAGGGGTCTCCAGGCCACCGTCCACCAGGCACGTCTGCTCTCGGAACACGATACGGGGGTCGGAACAGCTGCCTGGCCGTCGCAATAACATCCCGGGCTGGAAACGCGCGGGCCAGTAATGTGAAATAAATGCACAGATGTTCCCTATGAGCAACGGCTGGCCCACTTCACACGGTCAGTGGCAGATTGGGAACGCATTTGCGTCCGTTATGGCCAAGCGGCCCTGGCGAATCGTCTCTCCCATTCAGGCGGGAAATAGGGAGGCCTTCTCAGACGCCCGGAACAATTCTGGCATGAAGTGTGGAGGACAAGGCTGGCTGGGTTGCAAGGCCAGGTTTCAGTCCCCTGCAGGAACTGGGCGAAACAGAGGTCTCCTGGGCGAAACAGAGGTCATGAAGGTTCTCAGGGCAGCGGTGGTATAGTGGTTAGAGCAGGTGTCGGGGAACCTTTGGCCATCTAGATGTTGCTGAACTACAGTTCCCATCAATCCTAGCCATTGGCCAGGCTGGCTGGGGCTGATGGGAGTTGTAGTTCAGCAACATCTGGAGAGCCAAAGACTCCAACTTTTGGTTAGAGTATCAAAAAAGGACCTGAGAGACCAGAGTTCACATCGCAACCCAGTCATGTGAAGCTCACTGGGTGGCTGAGGACCAGATACTGTCTCTTGGCCCAACCTATCTCACAGGTTTGTTGTGAGGATAAAATAGGTGAGGAGAAGAACCGAGTCTGCCACCTTGTGCTCCTCAGAGGAAAGGTGGGATAAAAACATAGTGATAAATAAAAATATATAGGTGAAAACCTGGAGAAGCTTGTTTTTCTCAAGCCAGCTTCCAGAAGAGCAAGGAAGAAGAGCAGTGCCAGTTCTTTTTAAAGAAGAGGAGCATGGGGTAAACCCAGAGGGAGCAAAGGAACGAGCAGGCAGTGGCAGCTGCTGCTTTCTGCCCCCTTTCCTTCATTGCTTTCTCATTGGCCTGAGATAGTGAGTAGGGAATGAATAAGTGGTAAATGAGGCACCCAGGGCCTATACCACAAATGAGGCCAGGTGAGGTGACCACCTCAGGTGGCAGGATGGATCCCCAGGGGCAGCAGATTCTGATGTCAATCTTTCTTCTCGCCTTGTTCCTAATATAGATCTTCACTCACCCCTTCTTCCCTGGTGAGGAGGGGAGGGGACACCATTTTGTGTTTCATCTCAGGTACCAAAATGTCCCTGGGATAACTTGTGGCCTTCTAGATGGGTTTTTGGTCCTGGACAAACTGACAACTTGTCCTTCCCTCATAGAATTTGGATTGCCAGTTGCTCAGTCCCTTTAGCACATGAACATTCTGTGCCATCACATCAGCTCAGCCAGTCACACACTTTGCTGCAGCAATGAAGCATCAGTAGTGTTGGACGGAACTTAGCATGTAAATCAGAGGTTCTCGACCTGTGGGTCCCCAGATGTTGTTGGACTACAACTCCCATCATCCATGAGCTCTGGCCTTGCTAGCTAGGGGTGATGGGAGTTGTAGTTCAACAGCATCTGGGGACAGTTGAGAAAGGCTGATGTAAATGAAGAACTCAGCAATCATTCCCCTGCCTCAAACCACCCTACGAATCTCGCTCATTCGAGGTCTGCTCAAGCCCTTCGCTCACTTCTCCAGACTTCTGATTCACAAGAACATTTGTGATTTATCAGTCACCTGGACGACCCATTATGGCTCCATCTGCCCGGTATCTATGGAGAACGTGTTTGTTGCCTCATTCATACGCAGGCCAGAATAAATGAAGGAGGAGAATTTGCTCCAAAATCCAGCCTCCTCTCTCGGAGTCTCACTTCTGCCTCATTAATTTTACGCCTTGACAGCTTCACAAGCTGGTGGCTTCTGTTTGCTTGGCAGATGGATCTGTTTCAGAGCAAGTTTCTCTCTGCAATTTCTTTTGCTCTCCCCCTCATCCTGCCCCCTCATTAGGTAGGCTCTTCTTGACAGAGACTTTGTGGTTCCTCTACATATCACGTACCCTTCACAAGCTCATTATTACTGAGGGCATGGATGCGGGAGAAATTGGACTCCGTTTGCATTTAGCTCAGTCAGTAGAGCATTAGATGCTTAATCTCAGGGCTGTAGGTTCAAGCCCCACATTGGACAAAATATTCTTGCATTGCAGAGATTGGACCTTGTGGTCTCTTCCAACTCTAAAATTCTATGATTTCCTGGACTGGGAAAGCCTGTCCACAGTAGTTCAAACATTGGTTCCTTCAATACTGGATTAATCTGATGCTCTCAATATGGAGCTTCCCTTTGCACTCGATCCAGAAGCTTTAGTTAGCGTAGAATGCTGCAGCATGATTGCTGACAAGAGTGAAACCTTGTCAACACAGCACTTTTGCTCAGAGACCAGCATTGGCTGCCAGTTTGCTATCAAGCCAAGTTCAAGACATTAATATTAGCATATGAAGCCCATGACAACTTGGGACCAGTTTCCTTGAGGGATTGATTTTCACCATATTTGCCCACTTGACACCTTCGATCTGTGGAACAAGCACTGTTGCAAATGCCACATAATACTTATTTCCACCTATGCAATAATTCAATCTTTTAGTGTGGCAGCAGCCACACTACAGAATTCCCTGACTATTGACATTAGGCAGGCAACTTCACTTTCCTCTTTTTAGTGCCTGCTAAAACTATTTTTGTTTAGACAAGCCTACCAAGATATGTGGAAAGTTTACATGTGTTTTAATTTGTTTTTAGTTTATCGCTGATTGTAATTATTCCCTGAATGTTTTAAATAGCTTTTTAAAAAACTTTTTCTACTGATGATTTTGTTTTATTATTTTTGTAAACCGTTTTGAGGTTTTTCTTTTTTACCACCAAGATTATAAATTTTATGAAATAATAAATAAATGCAATTAATTTAAAAATGAACCTACCTTCTTCTCTGCATATATATCTGCATGCATCATTTCGGCTAGCCCTTACAATTGCTCTGTAAGGTACATCAGTGTGATTATTCTGCTATTGCAGGTGGAGGAGGCAGCAGAACCCAGAGCAAGCGACTTCTTCATCAAATAAAGAAGAAAAAATCAATTCAGCTTGCATCTGAAGGCAAACTTCCCCCCAAAACACACAAACCCAAATACGACCATCTTTTGAAATTTGCACTTTTTTGAATTTTGCAAGGCAGTTCTCCAGTCAAAAATTTGTACAAGAATGCATTTACTGGGGTAAAGTGTGCAAATAAATGCATATATTAGTCAAAATAACATACGAAAATGCATTGTATTAGAGGATATTGTTTTGCATACAGACATGGGCATATTAGGAGAATTTTCCATGAAAATGCTTATGAATTTTCATGGGGCATTTTTTATTTTTAAAAAATCACAAACTGATGTGGCAATGTGGAGAACTGAACTCAAGATTGTGAAAATGGGGCGATGTGGGAAATCTAAATTGATGGGTTCATCTCTCCCTGACTTGCAGTCCATCTATGTAAACAGCAGATCACATGGTTAAACTTCATAGTGGACACTTTACACCTAGGAAGCCAGCATGTCAGAGAGAACATACTAGTACAAGGCATGTTTGAGGAGCCTGGTTTCTGTGAATTTAGATAGCAGCTGACCTGATTTATGCCTCCTGGATGAATGCATGGACTGGGAAATGGTTGTCTTTTGGATTTTTGCTGTTTGTTGAAACTTGCAATGCAGTTCAAAAATCAACATGGTTGTATATCATCCAGTATACAGAAATTTTATTGCCACTTAGGCTGCATTCACAATTCAATTCAAGCCACAGGATTGAATTGTCAGATAGATAGATAGACAGATAGATAGATAGATAGATAGATAGATAGATAGATGATAGATAGATGGTCCTCATTGAAACTGGTCAGCATCCCAGTGTAAATTGATCATGTATCTACATTTTCTTATGTAATTTATCCTGATACACACATTTTGCATCCCCCCCCAATATAATGCACTTTATATGTTGTTTTCACAGATTATGCATTTTAATATACCTCCCACTAATGTATACATTGCGTACACATTACTTGGATGGAAAACCGACTCACAAATTTCAGAAAAGCGCAACAGTCAAAGGGTAGCTGAGTTTCAGTTTGCACATTGCTTTGGAAAGTGAGAATTAGGCAGCTTTGCAGATCTGAACCAAAGCAAGTTTGTCCTCCATCCCTACCGGTGACGCTGCGCTGCAGCGCTGGGGAATCACCGAAGGATTGTGAGGCTTCAATGATTTATAGGAAGCAAGCCTGGCGTTTCCCAGCTGCTGTGAGGTACCACGACCCCCTCCCCGCCAGCCCCACTTTGTCGCTTGTTCGGCTCAGTCTATGCAGCAGAATTTTACTCCCGATAGAGTTGAAAAATTCTTCCTTTGGAACTGGCGCCAGTATTCCAAAACGTCAGCGACCTCTGGAACCACACAAGATTTAGTGGTTACTTCAGTTCAGCTGTAATGAGGCTTTGCAGAAACCACTCGAGAAGCCAAGTGGGCAATTTTTGCTTAACCCTTAGGAGATCTCCCAACGAAAAGGAAAACTTTGGCCGAGTCGCTCACAAACAGTTGCTTCCTCTTAAGAAGAGATCTGAAAAAATAGAGAGGCTTTAGGAGCGAGAGTGTCTGTGTCCCAGACCAGAGGTGGGGAAGCTGTAGTGGCCTTCCAGATGTTGCTAGACTCCAACTCCTATCATTCCTGATCAGTGGCATGCTGGGGCTGATGGGAGCTGAAGTCCAAAACATCTGGAGGCTCACAGGCTCCCCATCACTATCCTAGATGATTTTTTTTTAAAAAGCATATGAGAAATCTGTAGAGGTCACTCCCAGTGTTAAGGGGGTCCCTGGCAAAGGACTCTGCCCTCCTCCTCCACTGGTTCCCCCTCCATCAAAGATGGGGTTTAACTAGAAGGCCAGTGTGTGTGTATGGGGGGTGACCACAGCACAAAGCTACTGGGTGTTGGAAGTACAGCAGCAGGGATCATTCATTCGGGAATGTAACGGTTAATTCTGTTGACTGCTGTCCAAGAGGGGTGGAGGTGTTGCCTAGCAACCAGTCAGAGTGGTTTGCTTGCTGAGGTATCTCAAGCTCTGCTTGGCTGTGTAATTGTGGAGGCATCCACCCCCCCCCCAGAGCACCCCTTGCTCTTTCCTATTCTTAATGGCACCCAAAATCTGCTGACTGGGGTGCCTACTTTAACTGACCTCACAGGAGCAGAGGAAGCTGCCTTATAAGTAGTATGAGCAACAATCCATCTTGATCAGTATTGCCTACACTGACTAGTAGCAGCTGTCCAGGGTTTCAGACATGGATAATTCCCAGCCCCACCAAGATATGCTGGGGATTGAAGATCTAAGACCTTCTGCAGGCAAAAGCAGATGTTCTGTCACCAGGACTGGAGAACTGGATGTGACTGTCCAGGTCTCTCTGGCTGGCCCTCAGGGTTCTCCTTGGGGGACATCCCCTCTCCAGTCACACACCTTCCAACCCTTTTCCTTTGGGGTACACCTGTTTCACACCCTCCTTAAGTGTGCTTGCCTGGCTGGAATATGTCGTTGAAGTCTTGCTCGCTTGCCTAGACGGAGGATAGAGGCAGCTCTGTGAGTGTGTGTTTAGAGCAAGCCTACCGTACGCAGGTGAAATTCAAATGTGTTGCTTGAGCTCTTTCTGCTTATGGCCCTGCCCACCACTGACATGTGGACCCTGGAAGACTTCCTATAAGGGAATGCACCTCTCAGGCTCATGAAAGGTTCCCCCCTCTGCTCTACCGCGAAGCTACGATGAATCTTTCTGAGCCTCCTCTGAAAAGCAAGGAATCACAGGATGCTTTCCCTGTTGACTGGGCCCAAAATATGCTCTCTCAGAGGGAGGTATTGGAGGCATAATTCTGGTGGCCTGCAAGCAGAGTTGGGTTCCTGGTCCTTGCAGCTATGTCATCCATCTTTTCTAAGCAGTGCTCAGGCACATCCTGTGCTTTGATGTGCTGCTTGGTCTTCTATTTTTACCAGGCAAGACGAAGATCCAGAGACACTATGCAAGCCCTGGAAAATTCCATCTAAGCACCTTCCGAAGAGAAACATGATCCTTCCACAAGGATCCAACGTGTCGTTTGTCCACTCACTGGAGGAAGAAGATACAATTGGCTTAAGCTGCTTAAGTAGAGTGAAATGAGTTGCTTGAATCCGGAAGAGGAAGCACTGCACGCTGCAACATTTTGTTACAGGACCCCCCCCCCTTGTTACCATGTACTAACTTCAATCTCCATTTTCCAAGTTCTGGTCCTATGGAGTCAAAATAGCAACATCCATGCAGAAGAGAAAGAGATCAGCAGGCTTGGGGGAGCCCCCAAGGTTTGCAGGAGTACAAATGATGACATTGTGATGTCAGGTGGCTGACATGCGGGTGCCCCATTGGGGTGGGCTTGGGGGAGGAGAGGATCTCACTTGATGGCTGAATCCAGTCCCTCACCCCTGATTTTGGCATAGTCACACTCCACCCTACTAGACATTCCTCATCATGAACTGAGAAAGCCAGATGATCCACAGCCAGCCTCACAAATACTTTCAGTGGATGAATCGGACCCTGCCAAACTTTGCCTCCTCTCAGACATACTAGTGGACAGAGTTCCCTCTGCTTGGAGAAGGATTTCAATTATTACATGCCACCCCCTTCCATTTTGAAGTGGTACTATCCAGGAGATGTTTTACCATCTGGATCTGGTCCTTGGAAAACAAAGGGGAGGGGCAGCAAAGGGAAGACTTCAGCAGAAAAGAGAGACTGGAAATAGAGGATGTCGGAGGTGTTGAGATGGATAATTCTCAAATGGGATTGCCAGCAGAGAGCAGCCAGCCAGATGTGTTGACGCCAACCAGCGAGCCGGCGAGCCGGCGAGCCAGACAGACAAACACACACATTGGGCATTTCCTTCCAGACAGCCTGTTAAGCATTCATCCTGCTTTCTTTGTGGGGGATTAGAGAGTGCTGCATCAAGCAGGTGTTAAACTATGGAACTCACTCCCACAGGAGGCAGCGATGGCCACCAATGTGGATGGCTTTAAAACAAGGATTAGGCAAATTCGTGGAGGAGAAGGCAATTGGTGGCTACTAGCAATGATGGAGGAAGCAATGC